ATTCTCCTGTTCATATCATTACCGATAACTTCTATCATTACCATCATTGGTACTATTATTTTAATCTTACATTAGCTTTCACAAATGGATCACCAAAAGTATCAACTGCAAGTTGACATCCTTTTCAGAAAAACTTTCAGGATGCAAGAGTTGTTTCATGGCTGTCAATCACTAACAATTAATTCAAGTGAAATTGTTCTACGATTATCATTATGCGGAGATCGCCGGTTCGGAGTGATCAATTAACGATCACTTTCAGACTGAGATGAAAAGTCAGATTAAAACGCACCGATGTCGGGTAAGTAGCGTTGTGCTCGTGAAACCTGTGCACGAAGACTGGCAATATGCGGGGCACAAACGCTGGCTGGTACTTGAGGATCACCTCTCTCCAGATCGTTACACAGTTGAATGAACTGAAAAATGCAAATTACTTCGTTTCTTCATAAGAACTCGATATGGAATGAAATTGAAGCTGAGGAGAGGAATGAAAATCGAATGAAGCAAACAACCTGATCGAGACGAGTCTGCGTTTGCCATGCGGCAGTCATGGATTGAAGATACAAGTCTATTTGCCCACTTTCCAAAACTTGTTTTGCATTGGAACGAATATATTCCATCATCACATCACTTGCGATCGGATTTCGTGTTAGGTACATCAGTGGTCGATAGGCTGCTTCTGGAGTGTTCGCGTTGAGCACAACCGGTATGAGTCTGGAATGGAGGACAGACTGATTCGCTGAGATTCAGAAAACAATGGCAACTTGCTATCAGTGACTTTATCACCTTTATCACGATCACTGTTTTCATCACTATCAGTATTCTTGTCACCATGACTGATGAGAATGTTATCAGTGGTTTTTGCTGGTGATCCATTCAGTGCTAAAATGATCATCGCTTTTAGCTAATCCGCATCGCTGTCCTCATTACTATACCCTTTATTATCTTACAGCTGCCATCATGACTATTGAACAACTTGGATGGATAAACAGTCACATCAAATCACCTTTGATGAAAAACACTTATGATTTGTTCTGGAAACGGAATTTTGAAACAAAATCCGTGACGGAAATAATCTGCGAAAGGAATAGAGAATTGAAACGAACCCTTTGAGGTTTTCTTTAGATGTTGTGCAGGCTAAACCAGCGAGCATTGCGTGATATTCTTGATAGAAGTAATACTGATACTTGACTTGTTGATGATAAAGTTTGAGCAGAAAGTCGAAATTGGCCTGAGGACCGAACTTAATCGCCGAGCAGTAGGCACCCTCGCGCACATCCGGTGGAATACTGCGGAGAATAAAACACTTTTAGACGGAATCTATGATAGAAACAACAGGACTGCTAACAGTGATACTGGCAATGGTAAACGGAACAATGCAAATTAATGATAACAATCGTAGTAATGACAATGACAGCTGCTATGATACTGATAGTTATTTTGTTATGAAACGGATATTTTCATTGCTAACTGTGAACACTTCTCGACCCCGGTGGTAGTTTCAGCGCAATCCTGCATCATCGTATCGAACAACTTTTTAGCCGCATCTTTCGAATCTCCGACTTCATATCGACTGGCGTATGGGATCATCAGGTAACGGGCCATACTGAAGAAACACATTTGTTGAAAGTGAAAAGCATAACTGCATAAGAATATCATCGATTGAGATGATGAGAATCACATGGAACATTCAATACTGCATTCAGTCTTAAATTCAACTTGCTAAGTTCAGTCTCAAGATGATTTCTGTATATGGGTTATTATTAG